TTTTTTTAATTAACAATATTAATTTCGCCTTCTGCCGCAACATGACATTTGGAGACTTACGCGTCAGCACAAAAGTGAATTAACATGCTCTTTTGAAAAGAGTTTTAAAAGAAAAGGCCAAAGTAAAAAGAGTTTGTGTTGGTTGGTGTTTTTACTGTAGACAACGGCTAGTTAATCTCAAGAGAGATATATTAGCCATTCCTCCACTTATTTATGAAATATGTTTTTGAGACTTGAACCATACCAAAGCTTAGAATGGAAAAGCAATAAGATCGAGAAGAAACCCGTTTATCATTTTCCAAGCTCAACAAAGATATGATTCTCGTCAGTAAATTTTAAAGTGTTTTGAAGTTTGATATAAAAAGAAGTTTTATTTTAATGCAAGGATGCAAAAGGAAAAGAAAAGTATAAGGAGAGACTAACCTAAATCTACCCCTAATGTTATCATACAATGATTGACCCTATAGTTTGAGTTTTGAAGGGAAATCTCTACCCTTTGTTGACATATATGAATATAACCCTAAGGTCTATTAAATTCACACTTTTAATAGAGTGAATTAAAAACTTAAGGGGATCATACAAGAAGTGGGTCTACTTAGAGAAGAAGAAAGAGATGGCTAAGCATCAAGATTAGTCAAACTATCAAATAAAGCAAGTGATGAAAATATTAATCACACCATGAGAGGTCGATAAGAAGTAGTAATACTTTTATAGGAGATAAGGGTGCTTGAGGTATGGGAGAATGAAGAAGTATAGGATCAAACCCTATATTTCTAAACTCAAGCAAAGGATCAAGATGAAACCCTAATATGTTCCTTAATCAAAATTAATTTGGAAAGAAAAAAGTTTGTAAAACTATGCCAATTAAAACCTAACTTCCTAAAAGCTTAAAAAAATCATAAATATGATTAATACTCCTTGAATTTAATTGAGGAATTAGAAATGATTATGAAATATTCCGACTAATTAATAAAATGGTCAAACTAGAGAATTTTAGTGTAATATTTGTGGAAAAATGCAAAATTAAAAGTTAAAAAATAACAAAAGTGAATTTTATGGTTTTAAAACATCCAAGGAAATTAAACATATTTTCTATGATGTTTTCAAGTAGAGAAAATTAGAGTTTCAAAAGCTTCTTCTATCCTAAGCAAAAGAAAAGTCCAAAACTATCATTAATTTCTAAAATTTGAAAAAATAGGAAAATTAAGGTGTAAATTCAATTAAAAAATATATTAAATTGGTTTAATACCTAATGGTTAGTAAAATTATTTTTATGTAATTTTATTGTTAAAGTAAAATACCAAAAGAAAAATATTTTCACACAATACCAAAAAAAAGTAAAGAAAACAAGATATTGCAAAAGATTGATTTTATTTTCTCATCAAATTTTTTATAAATCAAACAAAAATTATTTCCATGAAGTATATTCAAAATATAACCTAATACATTTTTTGGGGATTTTTTTGTTTTAGTGAAAATTAGAAACTAAAATTTTAAAACCTAAAAATGATTAAAATCCTAATTAAACTTATTGATTTATTTAATCATAAAAATAATAAAAAAATGAAATGAAAGTTCATAATGTGAACATATACTATAAAGAAGCTTAGAATATTTTTGTGATGATTTTTGAAACAATAAAAATATTAAAAACAAATTAAAGAAAACAAATAAAATTGAATAAAAATTCAAATAAAATGGGATCTACTACACTTGTTTCAAACAGAAAGCGCTGTAAAAGAAAATTAAATCATGTTCAATTGAATAATGCCATGTAATCATCCCTGTAACTGAACCATGCGCTAAGCGTGTTAACTCGGTTTTGTGCACTGATTTCAGACCTTAATATCTCCTTCGATTCTTGATTAAAACGCACGAATTTGCAACCAAATTAAAGACCTCGTGGAGTGGATCATCATAGGATCAAGAATTTTCAAAAATGATTTATCAAACATGAATAAAATCGCACGTGAAAATTACTGAAATAAACATTTATTTAACTTGCAAAAAACAGAATTCGACCATGCTACTTCAGATCCACATATCTCATTTATTTCTGAACCAAATCACTTGATCCAAACATCAAAGTTCATTATAAAAATGCAAAGAACAACGAGATGGTCATGGATTTCACAATTAATTCACGATTAATTAGATATCTGAGCATGGAATCATTATTTCAATCAAAATTCAAACCACTTGCAGAGCACAAGTTCAACATCAAATCTCTCATATTCATACCTCAGATCTAAGATCCGGCCAGTTAGCATGATTAAAAAAAATCTACATCGCAGATTCATGATGAAATGATGATTTGAAGTTCATGAAACTTACCTCGAGTAGTGAAAGGTAAATTCACTAGGTGCCTATGAACTAAGTAAGAAAAGAAATGGATCTTCTCCTTGATCTCCAAAGATGAAGATGCAATCTAAAATTTGAAGAACGCACGGGCTAGTTGAGAAAAAGCTTGAGAATTCTTTAAAATGCAGAAAAAGTGTGCAATCGGGTTTTGGAGAAGAAGCTTGTATGCAACTTGAGGATTCCTAGCCCTTTTTCCTTGAGTGAAGAAAAAGCTTATATAGAGAAAAGATTCGTGTTGGGGAAGCTTTGCAGAGGGATAATTTAGTCTTTTGCAAGCTTAGAGCCGACAGAGGGCAATGCTGTAAATTTGTAGCAAGTTTGAGTGAAGCTAAGCAACTTGTGTTTCATGCCTTAATTTTGACCATATGTGTGTGCGTTTTGATGGGTAAAAAGAAAGTAAATTTGAGTGAGATAAGCGTGTGAAGGATAAGCTGACATAGACTGCCTTGCCTTCCTTGCCAATCCACACTTGCATCAGTTGTGACAAATTCAAACTTTCTCAACATTTCCCCGTGCATTTTTGAAAAGAATGAGGCCTTTAGAAAGCCTACATAACATGCAACAATATTGTACTTGATGGAAATTTAAAATGGTGTTTGCAAGTTGATAAAAAAATAAAACATGAATTTTAGAATAGTTTGGTTGGGGCAGGCTTCGCGTGCGCGCAGGTCATAAGCATATATGCATGGCAAGGCAACTTCATGGGTCAATTTTCAAACCCTAATATCTCACTCAATTGTGATTCAAATTAAATGATTCAAAGCTCAAACTGTAGCTTAGATATCCAATTACAATTTCCTTTTGAACTCCAAACCCAATTATCACTTGTATTAAGAGGTAGAGTCTTGTGAATATGGGCATGCCATGTGTTTGATGTAATGATTGTACCAACACGCGCGCGAGACAAATATTTTGGCCAGAAAGATAGCATCTCAAGCCCTTATGTTCATTTCATTGTAACTCTCACCATAATGCTCAAAATGAAATGATCTTTAAATCAAAATTGAAGAGGACACAAATATATCCAACTTTGATGTTAATTTTTTTTTTGAAATTATAATCCATTCATTAAGAAAAAATGATGGTGAAGGTGTGCCCACCACATGTTTGACAAAATTTCGCGCGCGGGGCCTCAGTTGCTGGGCAAACTTGCCATCTTTGGGCTTTAAACTCCTAAGCACAATAACTCACAAATGCTTCACTTTTGAGGTTTGAGCACATATTAACAAACTTGTAGGTCTTTTCTCAAGCTTTTCAAGCATATAAGATTTGCCTCCATTGAATAAAAAATGAGAGAGTTAAGAATGTCCACAATTCAGTACTATATGACTTAAAGACTTAAAATTTTCTTTCTAAATATCCAAATACATTCTTGAACAAGTTATCTCTATTTTGATATTTTCTCTTGATTTTGTGACACCAATTATTATGAAATATAAAAATAGGATACTTGAATTGATGGTTAACCAAAAGTCCACTTGGTCAAATTTGACTTTGGCTGACTTTTGGTCAAAAATGACTATTTTGCCCCTTTTGATCAATTGAATTTCTTTCAATCAAAATTGATGGTCAACCTTCCTATCATAGATGCTCATAAACATGTTAAGGATCGTGGAATCAAGTATTGCCCAAGAAATTAAAGATTTCTTGATTAAACCAATAACTATAATTTTAAAACTCTTGAAGAATTTTTTACCTGTTTAATTTGACCAATGTTGAAACTCTTGAAGAAATACGGAACCGAATCAAGTCAAATTTGAGTTAAAATAAGTGAATCATTATATATATTATGTTTTGTTTTATGACTTTTCCTATACATAAAAATTAGAGTTGTTAAAAAAACTATAAACTAAATAGAATCGAGTCAAATTAAAGTTAAAATAAATGAATCATTATATTTTGTTAACATATTATAACTTAATAGTATAAAACAAATCAAGATATTGTTGAAAACCAATGTAGATTTTTTAAACTGCATATTGTTGAAAATCAAGATATAAAACAAATCAAATAGCAATGTAGATTTTTTAACATAATATGATTAGTAAATGCAGTATACAGCTCTTATTTTGTTATGAAACTGTGTTAATATGGTACATGCCAATTTTCAAAGCAGAATTTTTATATTTTTTTGGTTAAATAGTGTGCACCACTAGTCTAATATCTCAACATAATTATCAATTGAGTTTATTTAATACAATTACATTTATTTGACCATAACAAATATAAAATTATACAAAATAATTATTTTAGATTATATGTATTTAACCATAGCCAACGTGAACTTTTACACAATACTTATTTGTCATACACAAACATAATTAAGTTGTCATATACAAACATAAGATATTTAAAGTGGAATAAAATAAAATTCAATTAAATATAGGATTGAATTAAATTGTCATATTCATTCAAACATAAGTTATTCTAAAAATTCAAATGAAAGCAACATCAATTTTTAATATAAAGATAATAGACTAAATATAATATTGATATTCATATTCATATTTTTAAATTTCCATACACTTCATAATACAATCGTAATAATGATATGGGTACCTGAAAATCCCTTTTTATTCTAAAGTAATAAACACAAGGATAAGCCTCTTAGCAAAAACAAGAGTAAACCATCTAATGATTTATTTTTCAATAGAAACGAGATTTTTCTTATAAATAATTATTTTAGTAGAATAATGTTTTCTTTTAATACAACCAAGTTTCTCTATCATCTCGGTACATAAATCAAAGTAGACTAGTTCTCCATCTCCCTTTAGGAAGAATATATCACATTTCTTTGCCACCCCAATAGGATAACCAATATAATCAGAGAGTTCAATAACAAAAAGTTTAGTCCATGATTCTTTCACGCCGAGCTCACCCAAAAATAATATATGATAGGTAGTTGTATATTTATACCATAAAATACAAGCAAGAGATCCATTTAACATCAATAACTTTTTCTGGACGATATAGTTTTCATCGAAATTTATGTCTATTGGTATAGGTGTTATAAAACACACCTCATTGTTCAAATAAAATGACACCAAGTAATGTTGACCATCATCTTCACATGTAGCAGGCCAATGACATATTCCATCCATGTATAGTCCCTCACCTTTACAGTAACAACATATAGGAAGAGGAATGTCAATTTTTTTCCAAAAATTACATCGTAGACTATAAATCTCCCATACGGGCTCATAGGATATTTCTCTTGAATGAGCAAAATCTTCCCAGTTCACATCAGGAGGAAGAATAGATTGATCATTTACTCGAGAAAAATATACATACCTAATAATCTTATAGTCTTCACTAATAGGGTCATAGCCAAATCCTAAAATTTCCTTATGAATGTGTCGATAAGGTGGCACAGAGTCAACAGAGTTGTGAGGAATCACTTTGAATTCATTAATAGTTGGATTCCATAATACAATTTCGTTGAATGAGTAAAGGCAAAGAATTCCTGTAATACTACCAGACTGCAAAACATCAAATTGAGGTTCCTCTATTTTAAACGGGTTTGGAAAGTCTAATTTGACTCTATTTTCAAACCTCTCACCAGAAAGTAAATACAAAGATCTACAAATTCCATTATCAGGATCATAAACATACTGGTTTAGGAGGATGGATGTATCATCGTAGTAAGAGTGAGGAATAGATATTAAATTAGTGCGGAACTTGTTCATGAAAATGGGATTTTCAAATAAAACAGACCATGTTTTATGTACGCATCTAAATCGTTTCAAAGATTTTAAAGAGAGTTTTGATAGAATAGAAAATACAAGATCATTAGGTATGTAATTCTTTACCTTTTCATTCAGAGATTTCGCCATCATCAACCAATATGATCAAACGACAATATTTAAAATGTAAAAACCTTTCTTAGAAATACGATTTATAATTTCTTATATATTATTTCAATGATACGAAGTTGAATTTATAGTGGTGTTTTTAATTTATTTGAATGGCTTTGATTGGAAAAAATCAAATGAGATATTTTTCTTCCAAAAATCAAATGATTATTTACTTAAAGAACAAAATGCTTTTTCTTTTTTATTTTCAAATAAACAAAAAGTAAAGTATATGAATCTTATATTAAAAGTGACATTAATAATATAGATTTGAGAAATCTCTACTTGTCTTTTACTCATTTGTTTATTCATTAAAAATATAAGATTTTATTTTATGATTTATTTATTTAAATAAAAAGGAAAAAAAGATAAAATATTCACTTTCTTTCTTTCAAGTGATTTTGTTTTTCTCCATTCTCTTTATATAGAGATCATAAAATAAAATCTTATATTTTTAATGAATAAACAAATTAGGAAAAGACAAGTGAAGATTTTCCGAATCCATTTTATTAATGTCACTTCTAATATAAGATTTCCTATACTTTACTGTTTCTTTATTTATAAATAGAAAAAGGAAAGCCATTTTGTTCTTTATGTAAATAATCATTTGATTTTTAGAAGTAAAATATCTCATTTGATGTTTTTTCATTCAAAGTTATTCAAATAAATTAAAAACACCACTATAAGGATCACATCTATGGAAGGCACAAATCATAACAAATGGATTGTGTAAAATTGTATTGCATATATCTTGCCCCATTAAACACTTTTTTAAAATACGGTTAAATTGATATTTATCTCTCTAGAAAAAACAAAAATAGATTTAATTAAACAATCATTAAGGTGAAAAATTAGGAGGATAATGTTTAGGTAAAAAATGGAGAGAGAAAGTGGGTGTGAGATTATGGAAGATGATCGATAAAAGAAGGTATCACTTAAGGTAGGAAAATCAAAGATTGAAATAGGATTCAAATAATGGAAAAGGTTTGGGATAACAAGAAAATATAGTTAGACTAAGGCGATTTATTTAGAGGGGTGGGTAAATAGATTTTCAAATAAAAATTATATTTTAAAATGGTTATTTAAAAACTTATTTAAAAAACAATGTTAAGTAGGAGGTTTTTGGCTTAGACAAAATAAAGTATTCTAAACTAATCTAGTTATTTGAAACTCGAATATGCACAAGACATATCTAATTAACATAAAATCAATCGATATAGTAATATCTCAGTTAACTGTTTAATATCCAACACAAGGATTTACTATTTTCAACGAAATCATATTAAAAACATAATTTGACAATTTTTCGGACATATGGTCCGCAATCAATTTTTTAGAATTTTATTTGAGCTTTGTTGATATAAAAAACCACTTACAACCAAAGTGATTATAAGCTAATCAAAAAAGTAATTTGAACTTTAATATTCAAAGAAAAATTATATATGAATTGATCGATCAAACAACACATTCAACAAATTTCATATAGAAATTAAATGAGAGTAAGAGATAGATAGATAAATAGATAGATAGAGAGAGAGAGAGAGAGAGAGAGAGAGAGAGAGAGAGAGAGAGAGAGAGAGAGAGAGAGAGAGAGAGAGAGAGAGAGAGAGAGAGAGAGAGAGAGAGAGAGAGAGAGAGAGAGAGAGAATGGCACAAGGATTTGTTTAGGAAATTCATCAATTGTCCTCGTTATAGCTACATCTCCCCTCAATTCCAAAATTTGAATTAGGATAAATTCTTATTTTAGAAAAATATGATTACAAGAGAAGTGTTCAAGAGCAACCCTACAAACCCTAACCGTTTGATGTTGATTCAAGTCCTTCTCTTCTTTTGATCTTCAACAAGACCAAGACACAATAGCTGCAAATTGACTACACGAATCTTGCTACTCCTTTGCTACTCCCTGCAAATCTCAACCTAATATTCTTGGCTACACAAGAACTTAATTGGACATTATCGAACATCGTCTAGATGACACCCTAATAAAATATCATTACAATGGTTTGTTAGTGTGTATGCATAGGTTGAAGGTTGAAGATGAAGAGAAAATGCATGTTATTTTTATGGTATCATCAAATTGGAATGATGCATGAATGATATATTCATAGTTGGGATCTTTTTAGACAAAAGAGAGAAGTTTCGGAATGAAAAAATCATGAAAAAATGACCCATAAAATAATATGTTCGACTTAAAAAAATTATGGCAAAACAGTAGCTACAAGCTTTAAAAATGCATTACATGTTTCAGCATGAAAATCGTATGTGTCGGCACATGTGTTTGTGTTTTAAAGCAGAAATGCTGAAGGATTTAATATTGAAGCACATGTGTCGGTGCATAAATCGTATGTGTCGACACATACTGATGCTTTTAAAAAATTATAGAAATTCTTATTTTATGTGTTGACACATAGAAATTTCAGGTCGACACATAAACATGTTTTTTGTGCAGAAACTTACTTTTCATGATTGAGACTGATTATACACTTGTTTTAAATGATTCCTAAGACTTCAAATGCAAGGGAATGCCACATGACATAATGATATCGTCCAATATACATAAATGGTAAGTTTTCCTAGTTTTGAAATTATGTAAAACATCTAATAATGAAGTTGCACTCACACATATCTCCAACATCTAAGGGAGATGCATAATGTATTCAAAGAGTATGGGCTGAATGTTGAAGTCGTGATTCCACCAAAGAAAGATAAACGTGAAAAGGGTATCACTTTGTGAGGTTTAAGAAGTTAGTTGATGAAAGGATATTAGTATCAAAGCTAGATAACATCTTCATCAATTCAAATATATTTGCTAACGTATCGAGGTTCCATAGAGAAAAATCCAATAACCAACCAACACTAAAATATCAAAGGGTAAACTTTTCTAAGGTGTGATGTGGAGGAGTAAAAAAGAATGATCTGCATCAACTGGACTATAAAATACTTCAACAATCATTTGTAAAAAACAATACAAAATCATTTTTTTCAAGTTATTCGGGAGAAAAATCAGAACGAGGAAAGGTTACCCACTACTAAGCGATCATCAAAGGTGTAGAGAAAATGGAATCAAGTACATAGGTTGAGAACCAAGGAAAAGAAACCAACTTTTTCACATTGAAACAACAGGCTGAACATCATCAAAGATAAAAATTCAATGAAGTCCTCATCGAACGTCTTTTATCCCACAGTATAGGAAAGGTAAACATCGAGAAAACCTGAAGGGGTGAAATCACGGTCTTACGACCATAGAGATCGGGTAAGGAAGTCAGTTATGTGAGGGGATGGTATTAGCACTCCAAACGTCTATAGTATTCTACAGGATCCACTTATGTTTGTTCTAATCTAAGGGTGTGAATTTTATGTCTAGAGCTTAAGAGCTAAAAAGATATAAGAGGAGGAATGCATGCAAAAGGAAAGAGAAAATAATACAGGGAAAAATAAAAATTGTGCTCGTTCGGGCCCTACCCTAATGCCTACGTATCCCTTTTTAGGAATTAAAGCATCCATATTTTGGATTCAAAGGTTTTGTTGGTTTGTATTTTTTAATTAACAGTATTAATTTCGCCTTCTGCCGCAACATGACATTTGGAGACTTACGCGTCAACACAGAAGTGAATTAACATGCTTTTTTGAAAAGAGTTTTGAAAGAAAAGGACAAAGTAAAAATAGTTTGTGTTGGTTGGTGTTTTTACTGTAGACAACGGCTAGTTAATCTCAAGAGAGAGATATTAGCCATTCCTCCACTTATTTATGAAATATGTCTTTGAGACTTGAACCATACCAAAGCTTAGAATGGAAAAGCAATAAGATTGAGAAGAAACCCGTTTATCATTTTCCAAGCTCAACAAAGATATGATTCTCGTCAGTAAATTTTAAAGTGTTTTGAAGTTTGCTATAAAAAGAAGTTTTGTTTTAAATGCAAGGATGCAACATGAAAAGAAAAGTCTAAGGGGAGACTAACCTAAATCTATCCCTAATGTTATCATACAATGATTGACCCTATAGTTTGAGTTTTGAAGGGAAATCTCTATCCTTTGTTGACATATATGAACATAAGCCTAAGGTCTATTCAATTCATACTTGCAATAGATTTAATTAAAAACTTAACGGGATCATACAAGAAGTGGGTCTACTTAGAGAGGAAGAAAGAGATGGCTAAGCATCAAGATTAGTCAACACTATCAAATAAAGCAAGTGATGAAAATCTTAATCACACCAAGAGAGGTCGATAAGAAGTAGTCATACTTTATAAGAGAGAAGGGTGCTTTAGGTATGGGAGAATGAAGAAGTATAGGATCAAACCCTATATTTCTAAACTCAAGCAAAGGATCAAGATGAAACCCTAATATGTTCTTTAATCAAAATTAATTTGGAAAGAAAAAAGTTTGTAAAACTATGTCAATTAAAACCTAACTTCCTAAAAGCTTAAAAAAATCATAAATATGATTAATACTCCTTGGATTTAATTGAGGAATTAGAAATGATTAGGAAATATTATGACTAATTAATAAAATGGTCAAACTAGAGAGTTTTAGTATAATATTTGTGGAAAAATGCAAAATTAAAATTTAAAAAATAACAAAAGTGAATTTTATGGTTTTAAAACATCCAAGGAAATTAAACATATTTTCTATGATGTTTTCAAGTAGAGAAAATTAGAGTTTCAAAAGCTTCTTCTAGCCTAAGCAAAAGAAAAGTCCAAAACTATCATTAATTTCTAAAATTTGGAAATATAGTAAATTGGTTTAATACCTAATGGTTAGTAAAATTATTTTTATGTAATTTTATTGTTAAAGGAAAATACCAAAAGAAAAATATTTTCACACAATACAAAAAAAAAAGTAAAGAAAACAAGATATTGCAAAAGATTGATTTTATTTTCTTATCAAATTTTTTATAAAATCAAACAAAAATTATTTCCATGAAGTATATTCAAAATATAAACTAATATATTTTTTGGGGATTTTTTTGTTTTAGGGAAAATT